TGTACATTCGTTTGCTATAAAGCATTTTCTGGGTAAGTCCTGCGTTGAATCTTTCTCTTTCTAGTGTTTAGCTGTCTCGAAATTTTGTGGTGCTTTAAATAAGTGTTGAACCAACGTGATACTTCAAAATATTGTTGCAAATATCTAAAAGTGGCGTTCTTACTTTGCGGCGGCGTTTTGAGCGGTTCTAGCGTCAACATTTTGAGCGCTTGGGCGCCTCTCAGCGCTTCGAAAGCCCACTAGCGTTTCGTGTGATAACCGATACCTAAACTTTCTTGGTCGCTCAATATGCTACGAAACGTACAAAACGCTGGATCGATACCTATACTTTCTTGTTCACACAGTACGCTAAAACGTCCGAAACGCTGACAGGCGCTCAAGCTGTCGTGATGTATAAACCCACTCTGATCTTTTTTGATCGTCTTTGTTCTCCTGGAAAGTTGCATATTATTTCCCTCAAGTTAGTGTCCAATGCTAGTGCAATTACTAAAGCAAAGTATGAATGATCTGTTCGATGGTAGTATTCTGATAGTGCAATTACTAAAGCAAAGTATGAATGATCTGTTCGACGGTAGTATTGTGATTGTTTGCAGCTCATTGCTTTAGAACTGACCGAGGGACCGATTCGAACGTATACGATGGATGTCTTGGCACACTTGCCCTTTTCCTTGTCGTCAGTGCTCTCGCATTCCCCTAATGGTTCGTGAGCATATCATATTGTTCAATACATTTATAAAGTTCTCCAACGTGTATGTGGAAACCTGTCCGCAACGGTTGGGGCTTTCCTGGGCATGCAGTATGACGTAAGAGTCTGAAAGGCAAGCCAGCAAAAACATATTTCGAAGCAGAATCTCGCGGATGGTCGCTCGAATCGCGCGATTCCAGCGATCAGTCGCTGAGAATGAACTCTTTTCTACTGGGCGTAAAAGTACTTAGTAGTGGGACATTCAGTTCATAAGCGTTTCATTCCACTTACTCGGCTGAGTGGAGCTTTTTATATTTTTGTTCTCAACGCGCAGCTGAAAGCAACTTAACCAAATGTCAAATCTAATGTCTTTATAGGGCCGTTTATCCGACCACACCCTGTTTTGTGGAGAATTATTTTCGGCATGTCAGTAATATATTTGATGATACTCCAGTTTACTCTATTTCAAACCTATGCCGACATTAAAAAGGTACTCTCATGGCTGGATCCTGATGGTTTGAGTAAGGAGTCTCTCGAAGAAAAGGTAACGCTTTTTTCTGTCCATACTACTTATTTTTAGTTGTGATCGTTGATGGACCACTAATCTTTCTAATTATCTATTAGTTAAATTTGAATACCTCTTTTCTTGAATCGCTACTTTCTTTCTTTCAGTTCTATCTGTTCCTGTTTTCACCACAACATTTTCCAACCTTTTTCTCCTATTTGTATAAGGTCACTAAGAAATTATGCAGCTTTGAACGAAATGAGAATAGAGTATTCTCCAGATAATCTCTTCCCTCCAACTTTCGCAGTTCAACCTCAGCATGATGGTCGTGAGTGCTTCACTTCTTTGGTGCCTTAAGAGATTGTTCAGTGGAACATTTATTCAATAAGGCCCATCTCTCCACTGAATCGTCGCCCTCTGAGACCTGAACATGAAAACGACAAGTCGGAAAGTTAGTGCTACTGAAAAAGTTCCATATAACAATTCTGAGGCATAAAAAAGAGAAGTTGTTCGTCTTTGCGTTCCCGTTGAAACATAAAGTTCGTGGATTAGGCTTATGTACGGAATATCATATTGAGCAAATGACCACCATATCTTTTCCATCCACGACGTCATCCTCGGCACCAAATCGATGTTTCCTGAGTTTTTGCTTTCACTCTCACGCGTGATCTGGATACGATTATTTGTACGGCTTTTTCTTGAGTCGAGTGGGGACGTAAACAAGCTTGCCCTTGAAGAGGGAACCATTCAAACAATATTATCGGAGCAGTGCATGAGAGTGTTGGTTAGGGCAGCGTTCAGACTTCGCGACGGCAGCGCTTCGGTCACGCGTTCGACGCGATCGATGCGCATGCTTTCGACTGCATCGATCGCGTCGAACGCGCGACCGAAGCGCTGCCGTCGCGAAGTCTGAACTGAACGCTGCCTAACGTTCAGAAACATCAGTTCAGCCTCGCGGACGACGTTGCTGTGCGCCTGCAAAGCCGTAGAGCTCATTTGTCCTATGAGTAGGTTTTCTGGTTCATGGGGGTGATATTTCGACGCTGCGAGTTTCTTCTGCTGCTCCTGTCAAATTAGACGTCTCACCTCGGTAAGAGCTCCAAACTCCTGTCAGGTGTGAATGAAGCTCTTGCTTTAGCGTAACTCTACAGGAATTTACGGGTCTCCATAAGAGGCCCCTGACATTGAGCCGAAGAAGCCAACAAAATCATAACCTAGCCAAGTGCGACTCGATGTACTATCCCAAGTAAACAACTGGCCTTTTGTATCCTTTAGTAATTTTTTTTTTTGAAAAACACGATAGAAGAGAACTGTTTTCCTATTTAATTCGAACCTGACGTAAATTTTGAGACAGCTATATGTGCTCTACGTGTGCTCTGATTATGAGAGTAGTTTCAGGCTTATGCCGTGAACTGCTCTGATGTAAGTCTGGAACGAATCTGGAGTCACATCGATGTATTTGCTGTGGGACACTTCCTTGGTTGGGCTATGAAAGCATTGCTCATACGACACGGAATACTGTGCTGGTATATAAGTATCGCGTGGGAACTCACTGAGGTATGCGAGGAGAAGTTTTCCATTGTTTATGAAATACTCCAAATAAGTAGGTTTTAGGTCGTATTATAGCGAAAACTCTTCCTAATTTTGAAGAAGTGTTGGTGGGAGCTATAATTCTCTGGATGTAACTACTCGATTGCAATGGGACTTGGTATTTGGTTTGGATTAAGAGAGTTTTGCAGTTTTTCCGAATGCGGCAGTTTCACTGGGAGAGTATCAAGTGGGTTTTTCTTGTTGCCTAACCGCTACTAAGTAACTGGAACCGCTAATAGTCAATCGTATGATTCTGCCAGAGATGTCGGAATTGATCTTTATTATTATTATTATTACTGTTTGAAATATTATAGGTTGGCAATTTCAAGATCTATTCTCTTTAACAGACTCAGACTTCATAGTACAGCTATCTTTTTGTTACAGGGACATTAAGTCACATCGTGGACGCTTCAAACGTGCTGTGATGCAGTTCACCCCGGAAAGTTGGACGGAACTGGACTGGTTCAACTCGACTGCTCTAAGAAGAACTATGGCTGTATATGTGTCTGCTGATTTGGGCTGGTCAGATTTGTTCTTGTACTTATGTTGTTTTTCTTTCATTTTGGTTTTACTTTGGAAGTCTTTAAGGCACCGCTTTTATTCTGTTATGATTTATCCATAAGTAGCTAGGAATTTTGAGTTTTTCTTCAACATCACATGTTGATGAATTTCAGCTCACTGAATTGAATACGTTTTTCCTTGAAACATGTGTTCGCTGTGGACACAAAACATGCTGTCGTATTTTGGCGGATAATTCTCATCGCACTCATTTCTGCGCCCTCAATAAGGTTAGCATTGCAATTTGAATTGTGTTGAAACGTTACTTTATCATGAACTGTGATCGTTGATTGATAAGAGATCAGGAACAAGTGCGCGCAATTCTTTGATAGCTGTGCATGAAGGCATGGCTTAACTCGGTTGAACGTTTCGAGTTTTGCGGGAAGTGGGGAGCATTAGGTGAGCGACAGACGGCGTAGATTCACCGTAAATGACCTAATATGTGAGTATAAAGACATTTAAATGCGCGATACCAACATAAATCCAATCATAAGTAAACACAACAGTAATTGGAACAATCTGCCCGTCTCTTAAAATTGCAGAAGACCCGTGGTCAGGGAACTGCCCAGTGCGGAGACTGCGCTCACAATAAGAATGCATTCACGCACTGCGTATACTCTCACCTGAGGGTGGATGTGGGTGCTTGGCCCTAAGGAGTATTTCCCAAAATCATGGCTTTAGTCGTGGACGTGACCGGTATATTGTAGCAGTTGCGGTAACTATTCTTCCTATAATCATAAGAGCGCTCCTAAGATCATGTTATAAGGTCTGCGTGACAGGGCTGTATTGTTTGTTGGAGCGCGTTCATACTTCGCGACCAAAACCGCTGCACGATCCAAGCTATAGGATTGCGAAGTATGACGCTTACAGAACAGGGCTCTGATGGCAATTCTCTCATCTCCAAATTCATCGAGACTGGGATCGTTTTCCGATAAAATGGTCATTCTTTGAATGTTAGGTTTCTTATCAGTGTAGAAAATTCGTTCCTAGTATTGATCAACGATCATCACAAAGGCTGCATTCAAACTTCGCGATGACACATTTCAGAAGAAGTCGCGCTACAATGCTAAAGAGCCCTAACCTCTTTTTTCTTATCTCCCTTCACTGTTTGACCCTTTTTTCGTTGTAGCTTCAAACAAGTGCTTGCTTATTAGTTTTAGGGTTATTTCAATTCGTGGATTTAGTATGTTTTCATCATCCATGTTGCCTCCTCATCAATATTGTCCTCAATTTTTAAATTGTTTTCATCTTCAATCGATTTCAGGAATTTCTCTACAGCTTACACACAGATCCTTTTTTGGTGAGGGTGGACTGGTTAATGAGTTCTCATTTTGCCTCTTGTTCTTTCAACTCATACATGTGAATACTACCTCAAAAATGAAGAGTTACGCGAAAGCAAGCGAAAAATGCGGATATAAGACTTCCACGGCACTCGTATGAGTTGAAACAAAGAAAAGAAGGTCGACTCCGAGCAGAATAAAGATCTATACAAAAGCTAGGAAAGAATGCTTGAAGTCGACGGAAGGTGTGACCAGTCCCGGAATCGTAGACAAACTTGGTGAGGGGACAAATTGGGTGATGAAACATAAATAAGAACAACTACCTTGACATTAAAGAACTCCGAAATCGAGAACAGAAGCTACGATGAAAAAGGTTTTGAATTATAAAGAAAAAAAGCTAAGGCAAGCTAGACTTCTGTAGATAGGAGCGCATTGCCTGTAGCGGTAGCGCTCGACGCACATTCTAGAGCGTCATCGCGAAGTCTGAATGCAGCCCTTCCACCTGCTTTGGTGTGAAGTTGTTTTTTCATCTTGAAAAAAAATCTAATACTGTGTACTTATTTATGGTTTCAGACAGTTTTACTTGTACGCAACCGATCCTCTTGTGAAAAGGATCGGTATGCAGTGTTGGGTGTACTGTGCGGTAACCGCTCTTGAAGCTGCAATATGTGTGAAGTTTGGGCGGCACATGTTCCCAGACATGCCTGTCTACCCTATTAATAGTGTGGATAGCATTCCTTGTGAGTAATCTTTCTCCGTCATTCTTCCAGTATTCGACGACTTGTTGCTTTACTTGTTAGTTTATTCAATATTTTTTTTCGTAGCATATCTTGAAAACAGTGGGTAGAGGAAAGAGATCATTTCTGTAAATGGCGGGATAGATTTGATGCGATATCTCCTTTACTTAGGTGACTACAAACATCCGCA